CAAATGCTCTGTATACTAAAAGATTAAGTTTTGGAAAGAAAGTTTCAAGAAAAACCGACCACACCACACTCACACCTCGCCAATTATCAGGTAAGTGTTGTTAAAATTTTCATTATTATGAATTTTAAATATATGCAAATTACTAAGTCTATGCTCGATAAGATATCCGAATTTTATGAATCAGATTATATGCTCAACATATATATAAGTATATATATATTTTCTTAGTGTATTAAAAATTTATCTTTTATGATAAATTTTAGGTGGCACCCCAAGCTCGAAAAGAGATGACAACATCAGAAGTCGTTACTCAATTTCGTGGATACAATCCTGAGAAATTCTCAGGACAAGGAGATCCTCGTCTAGTGGAGGAGTGGATTCAGGGTCTCGAAACTATTTTTGAGATCACTGAATGCACAGAAAGGCAGCGTATTATTTGTGCTCAACTGCAAATGACCGGAGATGCTCGGTTATGGTGGAACTCCTACTGGGGCATGCGTCCTGGGGAGAAAGAAAATCTCACTTGGATACAATTCAAGGAGATGATGAAAGAGAAATACTATCCAGCTCACTATCGGGCTGAGATGGAACGTCAATTCTTGGCATTATCCCAAGGAAATCGTACAGTTGATGAGTATGAGAGAGAGTTTACTAGATTGGGATCTTTTGTCAAATATCTGGTGGACACAGAGGCTAAAAAGGCAAGACGATTCCAAGATGGGTTACAACGAGAAATCCGTCATCATGTAGCTGGACACTGTATTCAGACTTATGCTGATATAGTGGCCAAGGCTTAAGAAGTAGACGCAAGTTTCCGGAGGGGCGATGGCCAAATTCAGGTGCAACCAATTGCTCAAATTCCAGGTCAACCACCAGTGCAACCCACGCCTGTCCAGCAGGCTAAAGATAAGAACAAGAGGAAGTGGAAAGGTCCCCAGAATAATAACAAGCAGAAGCAGCAAGCTAATCGACCACAATTTCTAGCTTGTGGCAAATGTGGGCGTAGTCATCCAGGAGAATGTTTAGCAGGGCAAAATATTTGCTTTTTCTGTTGGAAGCCTGGTCATAATCTCAAGGAATGTCCAGATAGACAACAACAGAGGAATCAGGGGCAGCCTCAGCAGCAGAGGGCAGGACCTCAAGCTCAAGTGTATGCTGTGGAGTAAGTTCAGGCAGAACAGAACCCAGGTACTATGTCTGGGATGATTATTCTGAATGATATTCCTATTTTTGCATTGTTTGATACGGGAGCGACGCATTCGTTCGTGTCAAAACGATGTATAGAAATCATAGGAGCTAAATTCATTAACACTGTTGACCCTCTTGAGGTAAGCTTATCCTCAGGACGGAAAATAGTGACGAGTTCTAAGGCAGATAACCTTAGACTCAATATTGGAGGAAGAATCTTGGAGGTCGGCGCGTACGTCATCGAGATGAGGGATTTTGACCTCATACTCGGTATGGATTGGCTAACACGTTATCGTGCTGATATTCGTTGTCATGACCGAGAGGTAATTCTTTATCTTTCGGAGGAGGATCAAATTTCTTTCTATGGCTCGAAGACGCGAACGTTGCCTTGGGTGATTTCTATGCCGAAGGCAAGGAAGATTATAAGACGAAAGGATTGCCAAGGATATTTGGTGAGCATTGTTGACGAAAATTCGAGAGCACAAACACCTCATGATGTTCCAATTGTTCGTGAGTTTGTGGATGTGTTCCCGGACCAACTACCAGGAAGACCACCCAACAGGCAAGTGGAGTTCACAATCGATCTTGTTCCTGGAGCAGCGCCTGTGTCGAAGGCACCATATCGGATGGCACCAAGGGAATTGCAAGAGTTAAAAACTCAAATTCAAGAGTTGTTGAAACTTGGTTTCATTAGACCAAGCGTTTCGCCTTGGGGAGCACCTGTATTGTTTGACAAGAAGAAGGATGGTTCCATGAGGATGTGTATCGATTATCGGGATTTAAACCGGTTAACGATAAAGAATAAATATCCGCTCCCAAGGATAGATGATTTGTTTGATCAGTTGAGAGGAGCTTGCGTATTTTCAAAGATAGATTTACGCTCAGGCTATCATCAACTAAAGATTAAGGAATCTGACATAGCTAAAACTGCGTTTCGGACAAGATACGGTCACTACGAGTTTGTGGTGATGCCGTTTGGGGTAAGTAATGCACCAGCGGTATTCATGGATTTGATGAACCGTGTATTCCACAAGTATTTAGATCAATTTGTCATCGTCTTTATTGATGATATTTTGGTTTATTCCAAGAGTCAAGAAGAGCATGAACAACATCTGAGGGTAGTTCTTGGTACCCTTAGAAAAGAGAAGTTGTATGCCAAATTCTCTAAGTGTGAGTTTTGGCTGAAGAAAGTGGCATTCTTAGGCCATATTATCACTGAGAAAGGTGTAGAAGTGGATCAGCAAAGATTGCTGCAATTCAGAATTGGTCAGTACCGAAGAATCCATCATAAGTTCGAAGTTTTCTCGGATTAGCAGGTTATTATCGAAGATTTATCGAAGGGTTTTCAAAGATTGATCTCCCTTTGACAAATTTAACGAGAAAATCTGCGAAGTTCGAGTGGTCTGATCGTTGTGAGAAGAGTTTCCAAGAGCTTAAGAAGAAGCTTACATCAACTCCAGTGCTGATTATCCCTGATCCTACTAGAAGTTTCACTATTTATAGTGATGCTTCGAAAAGGGGTCTTGGATGTGTACTCATGCAAGATGGTCAAGTTGTTGCATATGCGTCGCGACAATTAAAACCGCATGAGCAGAATTATCCAACTCATGATATAGAGTTGGCAGCAGTAGTGCACGCACTCAAGATTTGGAGGCATTATCTCTATGGTGGCCAGTGTGAAATATTCACTGATCACAAGAGTTTGCAATATATATTCACTCAGAAGGAGCTCAATATGCACCAAAGAAGATGGTTGGAGCTTGTGAAGGATTATGATTGCACTATCCAATATCATCCGGGGAAGGCAAATGTGGTAGCAGATGCCCTAAGCCGTAAGGTAAAGGGTGGATTGGCATGTTGTATCACTCAACAGAATCAACTTATTAAAGAGTTTGCTCGGATGCAGATTGAAGTGGTCAAGACACTTCCTAAGGAGGTTACTGGAAGGGTTAACTGAATGAGAGTTCAGCCCATGCTGAGAGAAAGAATTCGGAAGGAGCAATCTTTTGATCAATTTGTTCGGAAGATGGAAGAAAAAGTTCAAGCTGGAGGAGTAGAAGGATTTTACCAAGGTTCCGATGGAGCATTGGAGTTCAGAGGAAGGATTGTTGTGCCAAAAGTCGAGGCCTTGCGGAAGGAGATCTTGACTGAAGCACATAGTGCACCATATTTAGCTCACCCTGGAAGCACCAAAATGTATCATGACTTGAAAAAGTCGTTTTGGTGGAAAGGGATGAAGAGAGATGCAGCAGATTTTGTGAAGAAGTGTTTGGTCTGTCAGCAAGTTAAGGCCGAGCACCGGAGTCCATTAGGCCTGTTGCAACCAATAGAGATTCCTAAATGGAAGTGGGAAGAAGTTACCATGGATTTTGTTACAGGGCTACCTAAGTCATCAGAACAACATGACGCGATTTGGGTAGTAGTAGACAGGTTGACGAAAGTCGCTCGTTTTGTGCCTGAATCAATGACTATGTCGATGGACAAGCTAGCAGAAATTTATACTCGTGGAATTATTCGACTTCATGGAGTGCCTGTCACAATCATATCTGATCGAGATCCCAGATTCACTAGTAAATTTTGGGGAAGTTTGCATGAAGCAATGGGTACGCAGTTGAGTTTCAGTTCGGCTTATCATCCAGAGACAGATGGCCAGTCAGAAAGGACGATCCGGACACTTGAAGATATGCTCAGAGCTTGTATTCTGGATAGAGGTTCCAAATGGGAGAAGTGGTTGCCGTTAGTGGAATTTGCCTACAACAACAGCTATCATTCATCAATTAGAATGGCTCCCTATGAAGCACTTTATGGCCGCAAGTGTCGTTCACCTCTTTATTGGGATGATGTTGGAGAGAAGCAAGTACTTGGCCCAAAGATGATTGAAGAAACTATTGAGCAAGTAGCCTGGATTCGAGAAAGACTTAAGACTGCTCAAAGTCGACAGAAGTCTTCAGCAGATAAGCATAGGCGAGAAATGAAATTTGAGGTGGGAGATAAAGTCTTTTTGAAAGTTCGACCTATGAGAGGGGTTATTCGTTTTGGGAAGAAAGGAAAGTTGCATCCTCGCTATATAGGTCCGTTTGAAGTTCTTGAACGGGTTGGACAAGTATCTTATCGATTAGCTTTACCTCCTGAGTTTGCAAGCGTGCATAATGTTTTCCATGTATCGATGCTGCGTCCATATGTGTGCGATCCAGATCATGTGTTGCAGCACAATGAGATACAAATTCAACCAGATTTGACTTATGAGGAGAAACTGGTAGCAGTTTTGGACCGAAAGGTTCATAGACTTCGGAAGCGAGATGTTCCACTTGTTCGTATCAAGTGGAATCGACATGGAGAATCAGATGCCACTTGGGAACGAGAAGCAGATATTAGAGCTCGATTTCCAGACTTCAAGTTTTGATGATCTCAGTAAGTTTCTAATTCTAGTTTCATTATTTCCGAGGGCGGAAATAATTTAAGGGGGGTAGATTGTAATATCCCATTCAGTTAAGTATCAGTTTATCTTCAAAATCGAGATACTTTTGAGGGTAACTAAGTTTAGAAATTGAAGTTTTTAAGTCACACGGGTCGTGTGACAAGTCACATGAGTCGTGTGACTCAAAGTATCATTCAAATTAAGTTTCGACCTTGTCACACGAGTCGTGTGACCAAGTCACACGAGTCGTGTGACTTGTCACACGGGTCGTGTGACCGACAGAAATGATCAGATTGTCATTAATGCATTTTTGGTGGCAACTAAAGTTATTTTTGAGCATTAAATTAAGAAAATATGAGGTGTAAATGTTAGGTAAGGATATATTTAAATTGATTAATTTTTACAAGTTTAAATTGTTTAATTTGTTAATTTCTACACTTCAAATAAATTATTCCAAAATTTTGGCTATAAATAGGGCCTTTAGAATCTGAAATTTTCACACCAAAAATATTTTCAAGTTATATAAGTGCTTAAGGAGTAATAATTATAGTAGAGTGATAATTATAGTGGAGGGAGGAAATTTTGAAGTGGAAGGAAGAAATTCTCAAGAGCAAGTCCTTGAAGGAGGTAATTCACTTATGTGAAAATTCATGCTCATATTAAGTTCATGGTCATCTTGATTTCATGTTAAATAAGTTGTTAGTGTGCATGTTTAAGTGTTATGATTGTTATGTTGAGTTCAAGTTGTTATATGCTTTAATGATATAAGGATTAGTTAGTAAGATGAGATGAGAAATGATTAAGTGGTGTATATGATTTATTTCATGTTAAAATTTTTAAGAGTAATGAGATATTTATGATGAGTAAGTTGATAAAAGTATAAAATGTTAGAACACTCATGATAATTGATATACAATTTTATAAATTGTTTAAGTTTTGGTGTTATGATTTAAAATTGAGTCTTATGAATATCAATTAAGACAAGTTTAGTAAGTTATAATTCATGAGGATGATGTTGGTAAAGGATAAGTATATTTGAG